ATACCTCCCCCCTTTCTTTACGTTTTTGAAAAAAAAATATAATTAATAAAATTTTATTTTATTGTAGATAACTTTTATAAATTCGTGTTACACTTATATATGTGTTTAAAGCTATTTAGGGTTGGAAAGTAACGTAAATAAAGTATCAAACACTTTTAAGTTCGAAAGTATTTGGTATTTTAAACTAAATAATAGAGTATTTTAAATTTATTACGATTTCATACAAATACAAATATGCTATTTTTATTTTAAATATAAAAATTTATTTATTTATACATTATATTTGAGATCCAAGTTAGTGAAAAAAATAAAATTTTATTCGTTTAATCCCACTTTATTTTTAAAATGAGTATTTACAAAAGCGAAACCGAAGATATAAATTTTTTTGAAGATAATGATATGAACTAATGAAGATATAGATTTCATTTCCACTGAGTTTTTTTATCATTAAGCTATTATGTTTATAATATAAGTAGAGAATTTGTAATACTAGCAACATCCACATCTTCTACATGTCATTTAACAATTTTAAAAACCTTTTTAGCGGCTCTCGCTTCTTAACTCAAAAAGAAAATAAGATAATGGACTAGGCAAATATTCCATTTTCTTATGTTGATGAAGGCAATTATATTAGTTTTGAAAATTTATAAAATGTTAACTGGGGTTGTGCCGATCCACAAATTTTTCACCAATCCGAATCCGATACTACTAAAAAACCGATCTGATATTTATATTGATTTTTATTTACTATCTATCTTTGTATCAATGTCATAAATATATATATATATTCTACTTTAAAAAAACCAAATGACTTTCACGAATGATTAAGTATATTTTATTTTTTTTAATTTTTCATAAGTTAATATTCTCATTTAAAATATTTGCAATGGTTGAATGTAGTGTGTTAAATAGCTCCATTTAACTGATTTTTAAAAAGAACCAAATCCAAATTTTAACTAAAATTGCCTCCAAATTTCGCCAATAGATTCAAACTTTCTGATATCTATAGGGAAAATCAATAAGGTTTGGTAATTTAGTCTTGGCCAAAATTTAGAGTTAATCGTTTTTAAAATTGGTTAAATCGAGCTTTTATCAACACTTACTGAATGTGACTCGTTAGATATTTTAAAATTCTTTTCTTTTTGCATATAATATAACAAAAAATAGTGTAAAATTTTATATTATTATTTAAACATTATAACAAATAAATTGTATATTAATTTCTTTCATTAATTCATTATTATGAAATCATTTATAAAATAAAAAAAATTATGATGATATATTCAATTATAAAATAACCAAAATAAAAAATATCGGACCGGTTTTTAAAAAAAGATAGGCCCGATGCCAGGCCTTCTTTTGCATATTTCCTGTATTTATAATGTTTGATTACGGCAGATAAAAACAAAACTAAAAAGTTTCGATGCCAAAATTTTCGAAAATGTTTAATAATAAAGTTACAAGATTTTTTGAATGTTAGATAAATCAATATTGGAAGGTAGATAATTCATTTTTTGGTGAAATAATTTATTGCATTTTACATGAATCAGTACATCATATTTAACACACTTATATATCGTATTTATCTTGCATCATTTGCAACGATCTTGATGATTAGCTTTAATTGACATATGACTTATCTCTATCTCTCAGATTGAATCCATTGGCCATCTGGATGGGCCAGGAAAACATTGCTTTTCAGGTCCATTTCCTATTATAGATGGCACAATAAATCTGAATAGAATATTCCCACCAGAAGAAATATGTATTCTCCAAGCGGCTGCAACACATAAATTGAGAAAGTTAGAGAATAGACACCATCACCATAGATGTGCAGTATGATAATCACCTAAAATTTTATCCAATAGATCAACTCATCCCATATGTTGATAATATGAGGTAATCATATTTGGTCAATCGATATTAATATTTACCTTTTGTTTAGAACTCCATCGCTTGACTTTAATTAGAGGATATATTCCTTAATGATTGCACACCACCGCTACTAGTCAATCATCATTCCAATAACAAAAAATTATCTTTTTATCGCTGAAGATTTTATAAGATATTCTTTCTTCATTAATTTTTGATCCAATGAACATTTTTTGGTTTAATTTATGCGGATTAATCCTGTACAATTTTTCTTTTATATTTCAATATAAATTGTGGAGTTAAAAAAATTATCGAAGAATAGTGCATGTTCTTCAACGTTATAAATAATATTAATTTTTTCACCACACCAAGAGGACAAATTTCATTGTTATCATTCCCAGTATAAATAACGGCTTTTCTCGCATGTACATCTTTAAAGTTTGGTTTCCATAATAAGGAATTTGGTCATCTAGCCAAACTTATATTTTATCTGTATACCTAAAATTTTTACAGATTTCAACGATTAATATCCAAAAAGTATAACTTTCTTTGTCAGTTTTATCGATATCAAAATTGTTGGACAGGTATAAATATCGTTTCATTTACTGAAAACAATTTCTACAAATTTTTTTGAAGAAAATATATGAACCTACAACTACTAACGGTTGATTTTTGGAACATCAACTTTGGTGTTGGATAATTTTTTTTGTTTTGTGATTTATAAGTTTTAAAAAAGTGTGAACTGACTCTCCATATCTTTTTCTCTAAAAATGCACAGAAAAATTTTTTTGAAATTATTTTGTTGAATTTGTACTTTTTGCAAATTTTATGATTTTTTTTAAGCATAAAAAAAAAATTAGTTTAGATAAAATTTTAATTCAAAAAATTAAAATATATATTCTAATAACACATATCCTAAACTATAAATTTTTAAAATATTAGTCTCAGATATTTTCATTACCGAAATAAGGTTAAATATTTTTATGTTTGTTTAATTTTGTAGGCAATGATAAATAACGATATCTAAATTAGAGATCTGCAAATCATGGCCAGGCTCGTACCAGGCCCGAGGTTTATTTAAAAAAAATAATTTCGGGTCGGGTTTAAATTTTTAAATATGATATCATTACATTTTGTCAAATAAAGTGATGTATTATAAATTTCTTGCAAGAAATTAGTGGCTAATATCTTTTATTTGTAGAATTTAAAAAAGAATTAAAATTTTCTTTGGGGCCAGGGGACGGGCAAATAATTTTTATTTTAGGTAGGACTTTTCGGGACAAATAAAAAAATTCTTTATGGATCGTGCCGGACAAATTTTTTTTAAAAATTTGGGTCGGGCTTGGGAAATTAGGCCCGATGCAGATCACTAATCTAAATCTCTATTTTTTTTTAGATTTATTATAGCCAGCCTGAAATTTTCTCATTTAAAAACAGCTTTAGAAGCATTATAGAAAATTGAAATGAACATGAAACTGATATATTACAACCATATGAGTCACAGATAAAGAAGGTAATGATTAAGGTATATCGTCATAACAATTAGAGGATGTTGCGGGAAAAGTTGAACTAAATAGTCAGAATATAGTATATAATATACAACCATCTAAAAGATGGAAAAATTTTAATATAATAGTGATAACCATAATAATATTAATACAATATATATTTCATTTGGTGGGAATATGTCTCATCTTCCATTCAAAAAATTAATTGTGTGATTTATGACTGAAAATGCACCTGAAAACAATACCCTCCTAGTCCATCAAGATGATTAATTGATTTAATTCGAAAGGTAAGAATGATGCCAATCATTCAGGTCGTTGCAAATGGTGTAAGATAAATTCGACATATAAGCATGATTGTACTGATTCATGATATGCTCAAGATTATTTAACCAAAAAAAATAACTCATTACCTCCTAATGTTTGATTTTTGGAACATTCAAAAAAAAATCATATAATGAATTAATAAAGAAAAATAAATTTTTTAAAAAGTTTTTTATGTCTTGATATTTAACGGGTTAAGTAAAAAAAAAATTGATAGTAATACTATAAGAATTTACTTGCAAAAAGTATTAGTCATAAAGTATTTGTAGTTAAATACTATTTACAAATTTTTTTTATAGTTATTTGCATTTAAAATACTTTAAAGGCGTATTTGTATTTTAAAATACTTTTTTGGAGTGTATTTGTATTTATATTTGAATATATTTAAGAAAATTTGCCCAACCCTGACCTTATCTTATATAAATAAAAAAACATAGGAATTTATACCGATTTTTAATATCGGATAGGTCCGAGCATTTATATTTTTAGGAATATCTTATGAGCAATTGATATTATTAAATTCGGGCGATATATCAAAATGGCGGATAAAAAATTATTAATGGTAATACTAATATTGAATCATGCGAATTTTTTTTAAACTATGGTTAATTATTCATTTTAAATGGGAATAACTAATATGTTTTATATTGTATATAAATTTAATTAGTTTATTGGTTAATTCTATTCTATTATAGACAATTTATGCCTGTAGTAAGAATAAATCGGATTAGATGAATAGTAATAGGCCAGATCGGCCTCTAAAAAATGATATTGACACACCTCTATGATACCAAAATAATATATGGTGTTTAAAAAATTAATTTCAAGATTAAAAAAGATGGCAGATCATAACTTAAAAAAATAATCTAAACCTTTTTATGATTTAACATTTATACCCATATGAAACGAATATTGCATTCATTATTCGCATATTTGGAAAGATAATGGAATTATTTTTTTAAAACCAACAATGCAGATGTGTAGAATTTATATTTAAACTAAACTTCAATTACCCTTCTGATCAGAGTATTGCAGGGCTCGCATCTCTAGCCCGTGGCCCGAAAAAAATATTAATTCTATATTTCCTTCCTAATTTTACTATTTTGCTCAATTAAATGTTACAAAATGAAAGAAAAAAACAAAAATTTTTGAAAAAAAATTATGAACTGGGATATATTTTATAATCATTTTCAGATCATATATTTGCATAAAATAGATAAGTCATTAAATGATCAGTTTGCTAGTTAGAAATATATTTTCCAATTTCATTAATAAAATTGGTTGGATCGATATGCGTCAAGTCTAAAAATTCTCATATAATTTATGTTTAAAAAAAATATTTATTAAAATTATAAGTATATTTAAACAAAAAAAATTCAAATTTAGTTATCTTCAAAATGCAATATTTTATAAATTAGGGTAAATATATCAAAAATAATCTTCATCAAGTCCAAGGATAAAAGTTAACGTGCGCTAACATTCCGACAACAATAAATAACGCGTTATACCAGGCATAGCATGGAAATTTTCGAAAAAGTGACGCCCAAAAATTTATCACTAATTTAGTTCCAAAGTAACCTTTGTATTTCTCTAGGATAATGCCCTTTGAGGGAAAGGTGGGAAATTTCTTTAAGAATTGACATGCCAAATACCAGTATAGTAAGGGGTTTGAGGAGCAAATAACCCGAGTGGATATTTCAATGTGTGACATAAATACCAAAACAGATACCAGAATAATGGCATTAAATGTGTAAGGGAAGAGAGGATAAATTATTATATTGATGCCAGCCAAATATAATTTTGATAAAAATGAATAATATCTATGTGATATCTTAATGTGCAGACAACTATTCTTTGATTCGATCAGCATCTGTTGATATGAATATATAAGAGCTTTGATAAAATAGAATAGAATGGGAAACGCTAATATGAAACAAGGTATTTTACGTAATTTGTAATATCCCAAAAATCCAACGTTCCAATATTTTTCTTGAATAGAGAAATAAAATGTAAACGGGTTATACCTCAACATTTGGATAAAGTATTTAAATTTTTTGCTTAAAACATAGTTGTAGGAATTATTTGAACACCAAGAGGGACTTTTGTATTCTATAGATGTATTTAAAGCAACACTGCAGTCATACACATATGGAGTTATTTTATAATTTTCGGCTAATGCTCTACTTAAAATCTTATCACTAACATAGTTATTCATAATATGTGGGATATTATTTTGATGAAAGCAAAACAAAGAATGGGCTATGTAAGAGTAAGCAAAGAAAGGTAAAAATATCAAGACAAATGAAATTATATAATATAAACCTGCCTTAATAAATGATTTAATAATATGTTTCACTGGTAAACATTTCTGTAAATCATCAGCATACTCATTGTAATTAAAACCATAACCACAATTGAATTTAAATGTGAAAAATATAAGGGTATGGATAATATAAATTATGTTGAATATACCAATAAAACGTGTAATTAGACTCAGTCCTATTAACATAGATGCCATAATTAATTCTAATATGGGGAATTTGTTTGTATGGTCTTGAAAATTTATATAAAACTTTGTTAGAAAATAAAAAGATAAAAATGTAAAAAAAGTATACAATGATTCAGAATAGCATGCAATGAAAAAAATATTTGCAGGATTAAAAATAAAAAACAATGTTGATAACAAAGCTAATTTTTCATTAATAGAATAATTTGTAACAATATCCACTTTTTCTAACTCCTTTTTAAAAATAAGCTGGATTATATTACTTGTATAACTGGGAGATAATAGAAATATGTTTTTGGAAAGATGATACATAACAACTGATGCCATAATAAACAAGGTTGCATTTAATACAACTCCTGAAAGCAGTAAAAGATGTTCGAAAATATTTTCTTCATATCTAAAACAAGTGATTATAAGTTTAGATAAAACTACTATCATCATGGGATAGAGTGGAAAGAATGCTAATAAGTTTTCAAATATATAACCATTTTTTGATATAAATAAAAAATATTTAGCATCCCATTTTGAATATCCATCTAAAACATTGTTTGTATTATTAAGAAATGGTATACTATTATTGATTTGTAATATAAAAGGAAATTGAAAAGCATCAGGAACATGATCTGCTATCATATTATTGAATATAAATTGGATGATGATGGATAACAAGCGAGTAAACAAAGTTAAAATAAATATATATATAATCATAAGTGTTATTTTTTATATTAATTTTTAAAAAAAATAGAACAAGTTTCCAATAAAAATAAAGGATATAATATGGCTACAAGCCATTTGTATGAATAAAATGTTTTAAATATGAATTTACATTAAATCTATTTGAAGTAGATTTGTTTGCTCGACTGGACACACGAATAGGACTTTGTGTATCATTTATGATTGAATTCAATTCTATTTTTGCTAATAATTTAGTTAAAAAATTATTGTATTTAAAAAAATAAATACTATAAGCTGTTTTTCTTGGTTTTCTCTGCGGTCCCATTACATGTTTTCTTATTTTTTAGAAAATAAAATCATCAACTGCTTCTGTATAAAGTACAATTGCTATATCTGACAAAATATTCAATAAATTCATATTTTGAAAAGTTCTTCTGATTGGTTTAAAAATAATTTTTTTTGTAGATTATATTTGTTATGATAGTGACTAATTTTAAAATAACCCTAAAATATGCGCTTTTGTATGGCGATGCAAAAATTGATTTGCAATCGAATTTAATTGCATTAACAAAAATATCTTTTAAATTTTTTTAAAAAAAATGTTAAGAAGATTTAGTATCAATGTCATATGGCATTGTATAGTATACTCTAGGCTAGGTCATTTATATATTCTTATTTTTGTGGCTTTTTATTATTTATAAATTCCAAATATGGAAGATAAAACTGTAATAAATTAATAAATGATTATTTATGTATATTGTATATTAAAAATAGAATCGAACATTCGAAAAATAATCAATAAAATATTTGATATCAAAAATAAATTGAAATATAAATCAGTGGTCGTATTGTTTATAATTAGTAGTTGGTATTACTACAAATGGCGACGATAAATGGAGAAAATAATTCCTTAAATGGAGATAATAATTCCTTAAATGGAGAAAATAATTCCTTAAATGGAGATTCAAAAAAAATAGCGGATTTATCTACGATTAAATTTGATAAATTCGAGTTGGATACTTCTATCCACAGATATTTTTCTCAATGGGAAGCCAGTTTTCGGTTAAAAAACGTAAGCCCATCTGAATGTCAATATAAAGATATATTTTTAACATTTTTTGGCAATAAGAATATTGAGTTGGTGGACCGTTTTTGTTATCCTGATTCGATCGAAACTTTATCTTTTAAGGAAATTAAGTCAATATGTTTTAAACTATTTAAACCGACGTCAACAGCTTTTGCTTCTAGATTTGATTTCGTTAGATTACGGAGAACAACTGAAACCATAACTGAATTTGCAGATAAAATTAGAGCAATTGGCAAGCGTTGTCATTATCTTAATGATACTGACGAGCGTTTACGTGATCAGTTTATGGTTGGCATGGAAATACCGGGATTGGAAAGAGATCTTAGAGCTCTATATCCCGACGGTCTTGATAGAGATAATAATGTGCTGACTTTTCAATTTATTCTTGATCTGGCATTAGCTTCTGAGCGAGCAGATAAAGAAATGGCAAATAAAAATATGCCAGTTGTTAATAAGATAAATGTTAATAACAAAAGAAATGATAATGATAATAATTATAAACATCCAATAAAAACGACGACTACAATTGATAAAGGCTATAATAAAGTCAAGTATAATAATACATTTGATAAAGAGAATAATAACTACAAATATAATAATGATAAAGATAAAGATTATAATAAACTTAAATGTTATAAATGTGGTTTTATTCATAACCGAGAAGTGAGATGTCCAGCTACAAATGCGGCATGTAATAAATGTAAAAAAATTGGTCATTTTGCAGTTTGCTGTAAATCAAAGAATTTAAATTATATAAGAGTGTCATCAAGTGATTCTATTCATAATATTTGGAAGATTCAACAAAATCGAGAGAATCGAGCAAAACTAACTGCAGAGATAAATGGGTTAGATGTTGAATTTGATTTTGACACTGGTGCACAAGCGTCATTGATAGGAATTGATATATGGACAAGTATTGGGCGACCAAAAATTAGGCCAACCAGTCCATTGACTGCATATGGTGATCATCTGTTAGACGTCAAGGGCGAGACCCAAGTCAATGTTAGGATTGGATCACAGACAAGGACTCTACCAGTGGTAATAATGAATACAACTGGGGTGCCTCTTTTCGGATTACCGTGGATTATAGCATTCAATTTAGAAATGCCTCGTCAGGTTATGATTAAACAAGTACGCAATTTGGTCAACAATATTGAAAAAGAAAAATGTTGCATAACACTAGATTCTAGAATTCGAGATTTGATTAATAAACACCAAGAAATTTCGGAAGAGAATCAAGATTCTAAACATGCTTTGGATATTCGAAGTATTAATTTGGATGATATACAATTGTCAGAAAATATTCTGCGAAAAGAGTCGAAGCAAGATTTAATATTAAAAAAAGTAGCAATACATATTCAGCAAAGTTGGCGAAACTTTGATCGTCATAAAGATAAAGAAATAGTTAATTTTTATAATCGACGGGAAGAGCTTTCTGTCAATCGTAATATTATAGAATGGAATGGGAGATTGGTTATTCCTAATAAATTAAGAAATGCAGTGTTAGGAATGATTCACTGGGGACATCCTGGGGAAAATGTAATGAAATCTATTTTTAGATTGTATTGTTGGTGGCCCAGATGTGATGTTGATATAGAAAATTTTATCAAAATATGTTCTGGATGCCAGAAAAATAGACCATGGTTAGAAGTTGATCTAATGCAGAATACCTCTGCTGATGCTATGATAAAACGATTAAATAAATGGTTTTCTAGGTTTGGAATACCCAAGTACATTGTGTCAGACAATGGACCACAATTCTTATCTGGGGAATTCCGTAGGTATTGTGATTTAAATAACATACGTCATATACGTTCAGCACCCTATCATCCAAAAACTAACGGATTAGCTGAACGTACAGTACGAACTTTGAAAGGTCGGTATTATGCAACGAGAGATTCAATTAGCGATCCCGAAGAAGCTATGACACAGGTTTTAACAACCTACCGATTGGGAGAGCATAGTTCCACAGGGAGATCTCCTGCTAAAATTATGTTTGGGAGGCAATTGAAAACAAGTCTGGATTGGATCCGACCAAATGCCGAACACGAAATATTAAGAGCTAATGATAAACAAAGCCTTCATCATGATTTACATTCAAAGGAAAGAGAATTTGAAATCTCACAACCTATATGGTTAAATAATGAAAATACCAATGGTTGGAGAGAGGGAGTAATTAAAGAAAGAATAGGACTTTATTCTTATATTGTTGAATCTTCCGGGAAAACATTACGGAAGCATGCAGATCAGTTAAGAAATCGTTTAGTTATCCCAAATCATGAAAGTTCTTTGGAAGTTACAGAAATGGTTGTGCCAGTGAATGAAGCAAATACAAACACAAATACAAATACCACATTACGTTGCTCATCAAGAAACCGTAAACCAACAAAGAGGTTTATTGAAGAAATCTAACTTTAAATTGTTTGAAGGAAATTTAATAAATTAATAAATGATTATTTATGTATATTGTATATTAAAAATAGAATCGAACATTCGAAAAATAATCAATAAAATATTTGATATCAAAAATTAATTGAAATATAAATCAGTGGTCGTATTGTTTATAATTAGTAGTTGGTATTACTACAAAAACTATAATGATATATTAATTGGTTTAAATTAATGTTGTTAACGCTACTTTAAAAAGAAACCCGCTATAGCTAATTCCCAAAACTAGTGGCTTCGTTACTAATTAGCTACCTTCTATAAAAAAGGCGGGCTATTGCTATTATATTACAAAAGTTTTTTATATTGCAATTTGTATTCAAATTAGAAATAATTAATAATATCTTATAATGAAATTTTTTTACAATTAAAATAAGTTTTTAAAATATTCTTGATAAAAATAATAAGTTAAAGTGATTACATTGATATTTAATAGTATATGGCTCGAATAGTTATATTGCTGAACAAATTTCCGACACCTATAAGATAAATTATATTTTTCTAGGTACCGATTTGAATGCGTTAAAATGATGATACGATTAGCGATATATAAATGTTTATCTAGAGTGCGATAACATCTGGTTCCTCCCACCCCCCTAAATACCTATCCCCAATCCCTCTTAAAAATTAGAAGCATCGTAACTACTCTACACCCCACCCGCTCATGATCGCACTGACTCTGATGTTAAGAATTTAACAGAGGTACTTTAAATATTCCTCAGTCCCATCTAACGGATAAGTCAAGTTTCATGAAAAATCAAAAATGGGGAGCATTCTGCATGTTTGTAGCAACAGGTTAAACAACTATAAACCAAGATAAAAAAACGATTTGGGAAAATGGAAAGCATATACTTGCGAATTTGACATATGTTTAATTACTTTATTTGGTATGTCAATGATTGACAGATTTTAATTTTAAATGTCATTGTTAAATAAGTAAATGCTGGTGGTGTTGATGTTATATGAATAAATTGAACGTCTTATTGTCGTGCTGGAACATATATAATTAAATAAATAACTTTTGTCCATCGCGTCGCATCTCATTTATATGAATTTAATTTAGTTGTTCCATTGAATTCCCAATTTATTTTTACAAAAGAACGCTGAAATTTTAAAGAAAAAAAACACATGTAAGCAACCTAACCAAAATAGTGCTATATCTTTAATTTAAAAAATATTAAAACATATGTTAAAAAACCACATGTTGCCACCATATTTTTTGCCATATTACTAAAACTATTTGTCTAATTATGGTTTTAAGGTTTATTAAGTTTCTATCATTAAATGCATTTAAAAAATCTAAATCTCCTCTTATGCCTGACAAAAAAATGATGGGACCATCTCCAAAAATTGATCAAGATATTTTACTTCAAAAAATTTCAGATGTTGAGGCTCGATTTAAAACAAATTACCATGATCCTGTATATATAAGTATAGCTTAATAAAACTACAAATTTATTTTAAGAATTGGATGTCTTTTGGCTATCATGAAACTGATCAATTTATAGATACATGGAGAGCAAGATATGTATTTTTTTGGGGTGTATCGATATTTTTAGTACCCTTGGTATTCATACTTCACTATTTCCCATCTCCAAAGTTAGTATATTTACCATTATTATATCAGATAACCTTTTCCAAATATTAATTTATATTTCATATTTAGTTGGCTTAGGCAGCTGAATTTGAACTTAAATTTAAATAAACTAATTCAGATATAGTAAAAAAAAAATTTAATATAATTGTATCTACAAAGACATTCAATTATTTTTATGAAAATATATCTTATTTTTGTTTATCTAATAAAATATAAAAGTTATAGATTAAAAGTTATGTTTTTATATTATATAATCTATTTTAAACTTTATTTATATAAATATAAAATGTAATCCATCCCTAAATTTTTTCCCACCAATTGATCAAAAATTTTAACCAACTTCCAAATTTATAGGCAAGTGACTCCTCCCTCCCTTCCCAATACTCCTTTATTATATTTTGATAGTTTTATACTATTAATTATTTTTAGATATTACAACATTTTACTGAAATTGTTAAAGGGCCAAATTTGGGTCAATTTTTAACAAGATTTAGATTTCAGCTAATTATCTAAAATATTAATCATATTGTTTTTAAAAATCAATCCAAATTGTTTTTTTAAACTATATTTTACCCAAAACAATATATATATACAGATTGTTTGTAATATGCAAAATTTGATTTCAAACTAAAATTAAAGAAATATTTACATTAGAAACTGTCAAGCCCATTGGCTTGGTTAGGCCAAAAGAATAATAATTTTTTTAAATTTATAGTTAATATTTTTAAATAAATTACTTAATTTTAATTTATATATTTTTTATTTTAATATTTATGTTTTCTTCTGATCTCTTCTCACCTCATTGTTTTTATTTATATTACTCTATAATTTTATTGTTTTAATTTAATTATAAATATTTAATAACCTATTATTTATTATTTTTCAAAAACATTTTACCTAAATAGTTAATGCTGCTTGTTATTAATAAGATAAAAATATTAACAATAAAATAAAAATATTAACAATAGCAATAGATCATATTAGTACATCAATCAGGTAAAATTATTAAATTATATAATTTTTTATTTTATATAATAAGTAATAATTTTATTAAATCTCTAACCATAAAAGAGAAAATTCATTAAAATTATATTTTAAACAACATTAATAATATTTAAAAAATAAGCTATTAACCTCAAATAGGGGTAGGGTATAGTAGAAGTGTGCAATGGACAAAAAAGGCAAGATTAAAAACAAAATATGTTGTTGATTGTTATTCTTAGTAGAGGTGGAGGCAGGCTATGAAATTATGTGTGACAAAATGGGTCACAATGTAAATTTTAAATTACTAGGCATGACTGGCTTCTCCAAAATTAATATTACCAGGCGTGATTGGGTGTGAATATAAATTTCTCGTGAATCACAGAAATTTTAATTTTAAAATTGTTTTTTATGAATATTAATTTTATAATTATTATAATTTCTTTTAAAAATTTTATTTAATTCTTTTAGAAAGAGGAATATTTTGAAAACTAAAAATCTTCCTCATTTTATAAAAAACATTTTATTACCCCGTCAAATTAAAAAATGAAATAATTGGGGTTTTTAAATGATTTGGTTAACTAAAATAAGAGACGTTGATATCTTTAAGGCTTCAGAAAATAGGAAGAGCAAAATTTGGGATAATATTTTAACCATATACTATTAAGGAAACCTACAAAATTTTGTAAAATGGAAAATTGTCAAAAAAAAAATTATGAAATTAAGTTTAAAAGCATAATTAATAATTACTTGTCCATAATCACCAATTTGTGGACGATGATTGTTAAAACGAAGTTTTTCAACCAATACAGTTAAGGGTTTATAATTAATATGGATTGTATTTTAAAACATGGTTTTGGCCATAAGAGAAATGAATAAAAAACCGGGCAACGATATTAAAAGTGTAGTCAATTCAATGCTAGAAGAATACATAGAAAGGCAAAGCATAAAAATGTTTAGACGTGACTCAAAGGTGTGTCCAAAATTTTCCTATAGAGGGGAACATTATTAGGCGAATTTTTCTCCCATAAACTTTATTGGAGGTCTTTAGGTTCACTTATTGTAGGCTTTGGGTTTAAACTTATTTTATTATAAAAATGTTTTATTTTCCTCGAAAAATTATAACTTTAACTAATTTTTCTTTCATCTTCTTTATTGTGTGATATATTGTATTAGTGAAGGTCAACGGTCCGGTCCTATCGGTCTTAGACCGGGATCGGACCGGCGGACCGATCTTTTTCTTGAGGACCTTGGCCCGGACCGGTCTTTTTATTTTTTACGGTCCAGACCGCGGTCCGGACCGATCTTTTATTATTGTTTAAGTTTGCTTTACTATACAATTAATATAATATTTTTGTATATTTTATTTTATGATATTTTTCTAGAGGAGTCATTTTAGATTTTGTTAATTTTTATTTTACAATATGAAAACCATAAGTTTGTCCAAGAAACATTTTACTTATAGTCCCAATAAAAACATAGAGTATGTGTTCACTGCAGTACCAAATTTAATGTATCGTCAGCACCTAGTAACAAAATAATTGTTTATAATTTTTTAAGCAATAAATTAATCAAAATAAAGCAATAATATTATTAAAATATTTTAGTTATTATATAGTTCTATTTTTTTTAAAGAAACTGTCTGTATAATTTATTGTAAAAATTACTTAACCTTATTCTTAATAAAATAATTAGGTACCTTAAGCAGACATCTGATAAAACATAAAATATATACTTCTAATGATGAAAATGAAAATATCTCAAAAAACACAATCTACTCTTAATTTTAATATGCCCTCTACAAGCACAAAATCATTTTTTTCATTACCATTGGATAAATTTTATTGTTTATATAATACTCTTATATTTAATAAAATGATAAAACAAATCAAATTAGTTTAAAAAAATATGTTTTTTAAACAAATAAAAAGACCGGTCCAGGACCGGTCTTTTTATTTAGGACCACGGTCTGGATCGATCTTTTTCTTAAGGACCGTGATCCGGTCCGGTCCGAGGGTATCGGCCCAGTCCGGACCGAAGACCGGACCGTGACCTTCACTATATTGTATACACATTTGGTGGATAGGGGGGATTTTTATTTTAAAACGATATTTACGAAATAGACGAATTTGCTATAGGGGGAATCCACCCCCTTTGGTTATGCGCCTGACGTGGTTATAAATGGCAAGCGCCTTCAAAGATGATGAAAGGATACCATCTTCGTGTCATATATTAAATGACATAATCATATGATGAAATACTGGTTTACCTTTAGCGGCAATTGATATAAGAAAAGAATCATAAACGAATTAGATAATTTTCTATACATTCAAAGAATGCTCGATTAATCTGAGCGCAGACTCATCCCACAATAAATGAAGTTTATCTATGGAAACAAATTTAATAAAATTTTATCAACCTTCCGGTGATACGATAATAATAAAACACCTAAGAACAAGTTATAAAAGAAAGATAGACTTGATTCTAGATCCAAATTTTAAGTTTTTAACTGATGTAGAAAAACAAAAATAATTACAACAATTTTGTAACTGCAATATATAATTAATCTCGATGATATGCATCTAACTATACCCACTCACATTTTTACATCCATAAAAAACCACATATTTATTACTGAACCATTTATAAAATTCTGATATTTTCTGATTCTGATGAAATGTCAACATCTACCTACGATTATGAGGATGAACTAAAAAGGTTCATCGGCCATAAAATATTAATCAAGATATTTTGAAGTTATGGAAGCAGCTGTTTATTAAATTGAATATTATTATTGAGCCATTACAACCAGACCCAAAGATATACGTTTCAAATTCGGAGAACACGCAATGCCTTTAATTAAATCTTGTTTTTTAAAAAAATTCTTAAGATAGAGTTATAAATTACATAATATTTTATAGCTCTTAAAATTCTACATTGGAAAATATGAAAAAAAATTTAAAAAAATCAGTGTTTTCTTATTTTGGTAAAAATAACAAATTAACATTGTTGAGAAAATATTTTTTTGGGTATTGATCGTTAGGAATGCTTATTACCCCTTCATATTTAACTTGTTTGATCATGAATATCGATAGTCATTTTGGTTTTTTTAATTTTATTTAAATTTTTATTAATAAGAAAATATAATACAGATTATATTTAATAGAAATATGTATTTTGTTGATATTAATATTAAAAAATTTATTGAAAATAACTAGACTTGTGGTGCCGCCGGCAATTTTATTAACGCCGGAAAAGTCGCCGATTAAGATGCGCGACGCATCAGGCTTTTTTTTTTAGAGGCGGCTCGGTGTGTAGAATTTTTAGAATGCTATTTAATTATATTTATATATTAAATTATAATTATTTAAATTTGAATATTAACATTAATAAAATATGAATTGTATTGTATAAAATAAATATATATGTTTTGATGTGCTGTTAGATTATTGTTATTTGGTTCTTTAAACAATAAAGGAATGATTGATTTGAAAGGTTGATTTTTAAATAAAATGATTATTAAAAAATAAATTGTCTAAAAAATTAATATAAGATAATTGATTGAAACCATATTATCTGATATCGATAGTATAACAGAGGAATTCCATTTAATAAACTAAAGAATATAGATGGTAACTGATGCTGGGACTGATGTCAAGAGAAGCGTAAGATTGGGATTATGAGCATCATTAATGCCTAGGGCATGGACTTCATAATTTAGTTATAGTTGATGACATAAAAAAGTTGCCAGAATCAATATTCTGATTTAAAAAAATAGAGAAATAATTTCAGCCCTTAGATATCGAGCAGCTGATATCAGTTTATGAGGCAGGCCATATTTTGGATATTGGTGATTCCTATTCATACCTTGATGAACATTTTGATATCTCTGGTTATAAATTGTATTTCACCAACAGATCTAATTAGGATGAAAACTTTGTAATTAAATTGCCTTACCCACTAGCACAACATATTAATTATGCTATATAGTATCCAACATGATTCTTATAAATAATGTTCTAAATAAAATAGGAAAACAACCCTTAAAACTTTTTAATAACAAATGGTAGATATAATTGACTAGCTTTAAACATTAAATCCATTTAGAAAGTCGGTGGAATTTCTTTCCTCTTAAAAGGGATCGATAATAAATTTAGGGTTATTATATCATAGTAAAGTAGAAACACCTATACTAAACAATAAATCTGATTGCTCAGATATCACTTGCCTAATGCAAAAAAAAGCTTGACCATAGGTTTCCGATTACCGAAATTTAAGTAATTTTATATTCTATTTTTATTAATAAAATTTTATTTTAAACATTGGATATTATCGACACTACTTGATACGAGATTTCGAAATCTTAAAATTGTTTCAGAATATTTAAATTCGAAATTTTACATCATTGCAATTTTTAATTAGATATTTAAAACTTTTAGAGCATAATAGAAATGCACAGAGCGAGATACAAGTTGAAGATAATGGGCAAACATCCAGTTCATACATAGGTAAAATAGCTCGTAATCAGTCCCTTTCAAGCAACGATTATAACAACATTAACGATCTAGAATAAGAATGTTTCTTTTGCTAAGCCAATAGTATACCAGAAGAGGATGCACTAACTTTTTTGGGAAAAAGCGATTGGAACTTCCTAAGCTTGATAATTTAGCTAGAAAGGTTCTTTGTATACCTGCAACCAGTACACCTTCCCTGTATTAATACTCAATGCAAAAAGGACTACTTTATGTCCCACGAATCTGATAAAATACTATTTAAATCATTACTAAATGTGACTCCGATCTGAGTAAAAATGCATTTCCTTACTCTTTTTCTTAAATTTAAATAGGAATGAGACAGGAAACAATTTAAGAAATGAATTAAACTATGTATTAGATATAAGGACGCCAAAATAAATTATAAAAAAATGTAATATATTGAATTATGCCGAACGCTGATAAAAAGATATATAAGGACCTCCGACGTCAAATGAGGCTTTGGCGCACCGGTTTAAGTAT